AGAAGCGATTGAACGAGCGCGTGATCATAGTCCGCAAACGTGTTCCATTCGACCGGCAGTCAGTTACTGATCCACGACGTCGGTAACTGACGGCAATATAGTCGATTTGAGTTTGTGACCGACATGCCGTTGGACCCCGATGGTTTCGCTGGCAATAGGCTTCTGAGGTTCAGTGGATCGGAACAAGTGTAACAGCCCGCGGAAGTTACTATCATTTTTCGCATCTTCCATTTATTCGGCCTTTCGGGTCCAACAAGCTTATTGTTCTGCATGGACACTCAGTTTCACCTGGTGGCGAATGATGCGTCGAGTTGAGTTGTGTTTGCGACCAGGAGAACTCTGTCGCTGGGCCTCTAGCACAGCCAATATCCTATCAGAGATTCAGTATCTACGTATGTTTGACTGAGTTGTTCGACAGAGAGGACGTTTGGCAGTGAGTAGTGGTTTTGTTATCTGTTCCATGTGGCCGTTGATATCCGAATTCAAGCCATCCGGCAGGCGTTGGAAGAGATGCTTCTGATAGATTAGTGCGATTTCTGGATCCGTGAGCGTGCTAACGGTTAACCAAGGTGTGCACGTTTCGCATACACTTCAAAAGCGCAACGAAAGCTGCAGAAGGTACGTGCTTGTTCAGATTACACGCAGGCGTTCCAGATGGAGCAGCAAACGGTGATCGAGATTTGCCGCCAGTAACTGATAGCAGTATGGTACCGAGCTGTCAAGCAAGTTCTGCTTTTCCGAAAGTTGATACTGCAAAGTAACATTCTGTGATCAGCATACACCTGCAACAGGTGCCATTTGTTTTCTCTATGTCTTGTGTGCAACCCAAGACCGCCAACCATTCGGGCCTCAGCAGCGTCTATCCTACCTCCCTAAGCGTACATACCACCAACAACCACATCGATGTCCTAGCTTTTGGTCCGTTGTGAATTTCAAGAGCGTCACATCAACTGACTTTGTCAATCAGGACGTCCGGACGTAACCAGATACAATAATCAAGGACAGATGGGCATATCTATCCTAGGACTGCCTAACGGACGTTATAAAACAAACCACGAAGAGGCGACTATTAACGGGGATCCATTCAAGCAGAGTCGTTTTCGCTCGATCTCCCAACACCAAACCCATACCGATTTTCCAACTGCAGTGATAACCTCATCACCGGATGTGCGCAACCAGAAGTTGGAAGAGAGCTCGGGTTTATTCAGTTAAATCAAAGTAATTGTGTCCTGTATCCTTGTTTCTAACTGACATCCTAAATCAGTGCAGAGGGTATCTGCCGTGAGAGCAAGAGCTGCTTGTTGTCTTGCTGGCTTCAGTGTGTGAACATAAAAGGCAGATAAGTAGACCAACTTTTGGGATTTCGAAGCAGAATTCGAAGTGTTTAGGGTTGTTACTGAAGATGAGTGCAAAACCTTGCAGCTGAGCTTGATACTTGGTGAGCAAAGCAGCTAGCCCTGTTGCTGAGACTTGCAGAGATAATGTTAAAATTGAATATGAGATACTCTGAGACTGTCAATGTGATATTTCCAGTTTGGCTCAGTAGGTCATGTGAGCAGACGAACTCAATCGGCCCATTAGGTTATTACAGTAAGGTAAATATCTTATAAAGCTTACTACCCCACAAGGGAAGAAAACGTCACTCCAAACGATGAGACAGGGAGACGAAAGGTCGATGTATTACAGTAAGGTAAATATCTCACCCCACAAGGGAAGAAAACGTCACTCCGAACGATGAGACAGGGAGACGAAAGGTCGATTGTCACCGTAAGATGTCATTCGAAAGATACTTCGGAGCCATGGTAAAAAAAATTCTTTCTAGCTGATAACACTTTGCAACAACGCCCCATAAAGTCCAAAGACCCCATCAAATTGAATCACCGCACAAATTGCAACTATCAACTTTCCTGTGCAGAATACCCCAAATACCAAATACATGGTCCAGACAGTCTGACAACCCAATGTGCGAATCCCAGTGAACAAAAGACATGTCCTTATCCTCCCACAAAACCCATCGAGTTCCAATAACTAAAACGCGACTCAGCCATTGCACTGTACCCATTTGAGTCAAGCTATCGGAACAACTTTGATGGTACACGCATACTCCAGTCAGGATTCAATTTACGCGTGGAACGGGCGTACGCTGAAGCCCTAGAGATCACCACATAACCAAACCACATCGACCGTAGGGTTGGTGTCTGCATCCTGTCTATCCGGTTTGGACTAATAGCATAGGAGCCAGATGTCAAGCGGGGATCCCAACAATGACGCATCACATCCAGCAAAACACACAGGGGCACGTCCTAATCAAAACAAACAGAACGCGTGTATGGGTCACAGATCTAACACACACTCACACACGTCAGTTACCAAATGATCTCAAGCTCACACCAATCACAGGACATGATAGCAGACCTAAATGATGGTGCTGTTGACCCGCATTCGATTGATCGTACAGGTCCTCGAAAAAGGTTGACCACGACTACCGAAAGGTCGGATCGTAACACCTCATTTCACTATGCTGTCCGCTAGTCCATCAGAAAATGATCGCATAATGCAAGGCCACTCCAAAAGCTTTACATTTTGCTGATAGTCTTGGTTGATCATAAACCAAATGTTGTGAATTTCAATACATTAATAGTGCAGTTAGGGCGACAAACATTAATACTCCTATACGCTTGCAGACTGTTTAATCCCATCCAGGACTTCCGACCAACTTTCCATATCACCACGCCGGTTTGAAATATTCCCCATTGGGTAGCACGTGATGGTTAGTAAGGACTTCACTCTGGTCGTACACGTACGGATTCCCCCTACGAAGAAGTGCCAGGAAGGATTACGTCTACCGAGGAAATATTCTCAGAGAAACAGATATGGTTCCATAGTGATCCAGTTCAATCGAACAATGAAACAGATTGAGGCTGCTTTCTGGTTTCTAAGATGAACCGATTTACTACGCAAGAATAAACAGCAGAACGCAGTTTTTCAGAAATCCCGATGCAAGTTTAATAGTCCAGTGTGAGGCTTAACGTTTGGAGTAGCAAGTCTCGTTGAAATACAATACCTGACTACATCGAATGCCAAACGATAGATCCTGCCACAGTTCGAATTTCACACACAATTTCACTGCGAGTGAATCTTGACACCAGAACAGTGTAACACACAATAACTCAATGTTTATGTCCGAAAACTCTCGTTGTTTGCTTCGTTAGAGTAAAATAAAGGTTGGTTTTCATTTGAATATATTTAGCTGGCGCAACGACCTACTTCCCTGACTAACGACTGATCCGACGACCATTGCCCAGATTTCGCGTAGTGTCCTCGTATATTGTAAGTGAACTGTATGCCAGTGATTTACACCCGGTGCTTCAATCCCAGACCGTTGGGAAATACTGCATCGCACACCTGAAAAATAAGTCTGACGTATGTGATCGCCACTAAACCCTCAAACTTTTATGACTATTTGACGTGCCTCTCATGAACTGCATCCTCAGTGCGGCAAAAGTTGATTGATTTTTTAAGGGAGATAATGCCGTTTGTCCCTTCTATCAGTGAAGCTGTATGCTGCAAAAGGATTGCATGTTTTGAAATTAATGCAGAATACAAGGAACTATGCCATCATTGCATAATCAAAGATTTATTGCCCCATTAGAAAAAAACGTTGACAAACCTAAGCGCAGACTCGGGTTTTTCCACTTGTATATTCAAAACACTATATTTGTTGACAACAGTCTGACGTTTGGTTCCTCTGGTCTCATTGCCTTAAGACATCTAGCCAGAAAACAGAAACAGAAATGAAGAGCATCATAAACGAGAGATCCAGCTGGGATTAATCTCAGTCTCGCGTAAAATCAGAAGTGTAATGCAAATGAGTGTAGTTGACAAACTTCTGTAATTTTGGTTTAAGTAGAACAAACGGAATGGAAACTCGGGGACTGCACCTACCTAATGAGCCGCAACAAGGGCGAAACGGGTAATGGGCTGTCGTAGAGTTTCCAGAAAGCTTACAAACAGTGTCCTACGCCTATGAAATGTTTAGTCACAACGCCCATTTGAATTCGCCCGTAACTTCTTCCCATGTCTTCCTCCCATAGTGAACAATAATATTACTCAATGTCATAGTGAAGACAGACGTACCAAAATATTCTGGAGATATCTGTCTTTTACAGAAACGAAGCGGGCCTAATGTGGGATGTGTTCATGTATCTGAAGGTCAAGTGTCTGTGATAACCAACAATTCTTGGTTGGTTATGAGGAGACTGGAATGCTTTTGGTGTGATGAATGCGCTATTAATTAGAGATTTTCACGTGGCCTTCAAGGTCACTCGCAAAACAAATTGACATGCTTTCTGGAAATGCCGCTTTTGCGTTATATTCGAGTGGCCAGATCAAAAGTAATAAAATGATGTTTCTTTTGTACATCTGGCGTTAACTTGTGGAAATGCCGCTTTTGCGTTATATTCGAGTGGCCAGATCAAAAGTAATAAAATGATGTTTCTTTTGTACATCTGGCGTTAACTTGTTGGTTTTTTCCTAACGAAATTTAAAGTTCAGTTCCGCTCAAAGATGTCGGTGAGCAGTGTGACCTACAACTCCTACAGTTAGTAAAAGCAACGAAAACATTGCTTACAAACCTTGTTTGAGAATTTGGTTTGATTACCGATGAAGGTGGTACTTACGAAGATCATGTCCCCACGATTGGTGAGCGGACGTCTCCAAGTTTCAAGCTCGTTGAACAGATCAAGCTTATATCCAACAACAAGATTTGTGCTACAGACGGTTGTGATGACCGAGCAGAGGAGGGCAGATTTTGAGTGAACCAAATGTACGGTTTAGTAGCCTGCAACTGCTTTCAACCTACTGGATGTGCTGGTGCTGTTTACAGTCCTCAGTAGTTCTTGGCTGTTGATTGCTGTCTGACTGTTTTATTTGCATTTGATTGTCATGACATTACGATTATCATTGCTATGACATAATTCACATGTTACTTTTGGTTGCAGGACAATTCTCCAAACGCATACAACGAGACCTGAAGGACCAACCAACATCATCCGCAAGCCAGAGGTTGGACAAACCTGAAGGTGCGCGCTGTTCATTTGAAAAATACCGACTATGACTGGTACAATAATTTCACTGCATTCATAGCCCACGTGCATGCTCTAGCAGTATGAAACAGAACTTCAAATCAGGTGTGCGGTCTTAGTTAGGCCGATGTACGGAGTTCAAAGTATATCCGCTTCATGAACAATGCCACTTAAGCAAGAGTTGGCAAATCCACAGTCACATTTCAACGACCTCAGTCTGTCTAATGCTGACCATATGCGGCTACATTCTACGAAGTAGTTTTTCGTTCTCCTATCGTCTACTAATGTCGTTCTGTAATCTTTACTCATCCTGTATAAGCAGCGTAGGGATAAATTGATCATTTGTTTTTATGGTTTTCCTCCGATAAGCCTCAAAAAGGGAGTACCGTTACGGGGTCGTAGGTGAGCTTGAATCAGTCTTATAGATCGCACTGCTCACGAAGGATAGTTTGGTTCATTTAGGTGTCACGTTGTGAGGATGACAAAACTTCCTGTCCCAGTATAACAATATAATAATATAATAAATATTATTGCAGGTTTTTTCGTTCCCTTTTTTGTTAAAAAAATATACAAATGTATACAATATTATTTGGCAGTCAAATCAGCCAAAGTATTCCCCCGGATCACAACTGAACAATCCTGACCGCGAAAACCGTATATATTGCCTGTGTATGGCATTCCTTTTGATACGATGCGTTTGGTAAATCCTTAGTTGGCTTCCTTTCTTTCTCAACCCAATATGAAATGGCCACTACTGGCTTTTCTTTGGTATTTGGCATTCAAGTCACAAGTCCACTGACCAAAGTACCAATTATGGAGTCGCTCATAACATCCCCCAACGGAACTACTCTCAACCAACTAGTAACGTCAGCTGGCTTGCCCACCCGCCCAAGTTCGTCCAGTTTTGGGCAAACAGAACAACAGCGAAAAGTGATTGGAGGTGAACATCCGCCTGCCAGTACAATATCCAACATGAGCATGAAATCTGTTCCCGATATTTCAACCAGTCGGCCAGGACCCAATCAGACCCCACTCACGTCCTTACCTTATCAAACTTCGTACTTCAACCAAAAGCCTCCAACCTCTCCATCAGCATCATTACTTGCTTCCTCGTTTGGTGCGGCCAGTTCCTCATCCAAAAAGGTGGCCAGTCTGACAGGCGAAACCGAATTACCCGCGTTAGCCGGAACAAACCAGCCAGCCGTCACAGTTCGAGACACTCGGACATCTAGCGATGATGGTATGTGAATAAGTGGATTCTCTGTACTCATTTTGTGCCTCAGTTTTCAAGCTGCTTAGTTATAGTCAAGAACACTATAACATCACTTGTGGCTTCGTACTTTACCCAGACGGGAACTAATTTCGAAAACGTCCCTTAACAACATAAGTTAGTTAACCAAGTTCGTCTTCTTTAAATTTGTGAGTGGCCACACCACTGGTTACTTATTTTGCTCTGCTTATTTCAATCAGACATCAGATATGAATCGAGAGGCAAGCTTTAGGAACCAAGTCAGAAGACCACACGGGGGTGAATCGCATGCTTATGGTTTGAAGCGGAAGGATTACTCCCTAATGAGATTGTCCATCAAACCTCTTGGAGATTTTCAATCTGTGCAGTTGTACGACCTGAATCAGGGTGTGGTAGTGTTCAAACATCGAAAAAACTTCCCGTGCACTAAGAAGACTGAAGGTCAATGTCTAACCGGTCCTGTAAGGGAAACCGGATGGCGTACAAAATCTGAGAAGCCAAAATCTGAAAAGCACTGATAAACCGGCACAGATTACTTTTGCTAGCAAGACGAGTCTTTGTTCAAAATTCCCAAATTACCTTGCACTACCAACAATCTATAAAAACTCAAAAGAAATAATGAAGTTCACCAAATGGAGATAACTTCCATCTAAGTAGTTAGCACTCAAGAAACCAGTCAACACGCGTGGCGGGGAAATACGAAACCAGTGACCGATCGGTGAGTTGCGTTATAACCAATCAAATTACAAGCACATTACACTACCAATCAGACTATGCTGTCCGAAGGGTAAAGTATTCAAACTACTAGTCAAGAGGTCGCGAGTTCTGGCCCCTAAAGTTCCGTGACATACCCATTGTGGTTGATTCCCAATTATAGCGAAAGAATAGTCCAGGGCCTCCTAGCTTTTTTGCCTGAGTTTCCTTCACTTACAGAACGAAATTTCTCCTCACACTACTACCAATTCGGAAAATTCAACCACACACTGCTTGGTTAAACCACATGAAAAGTTAGTTTACTAACTCTCACATTGTAATTGTCCTAAACCATCGCCCCGGGTTTCAACGCAAGATGAAACGACCACCAAGTGATGTGTACTGCTTCACAAAAATGCCAAAATTGCAGTAAATGCGATGAGTAGTGACAAAGCCGAAAAAATAAACTGGTGTTAGTCACTTTAAGATGTAATCTCACTTAGAATGTCATCACATAAAAAACATCAGTTTATCGCAAGTTAAATTTGGGTGGATAGGTTTTTTAATCCTCTGAGCACCACGAATTCAAAGTCCAATTTAGATCGCGTCTTCTCACGATAGGGCACAAATTGTGTCCAATTAGATGACAATTTTTAGCCATAGAATGTGGTCACGCTGTTCCGAAGAGCCGTTATTCGCCGAATACTCTTATCTGCATTCAGATTTTCCATTGATGGGAGACTCAACTAAATCCACCTGAATCTTTCAAATACGGCAGTATTTTTCAATTGAATGTGGTGCGCCAGGCTACTTCATGTTTAACTTAGAGAAGTCACACTCACGCTCTTGGTTCACTTGCCCATCACGAAGTCCTCAATCCCGAAGCAACAAAAGCAGCTTTTTATCTCCCATTGCAGTGAAATTTCCAGTGTCCAGGCAACTATCAAAAACCGTTGCAGCAGCCTCCAAAGTTTGTAATAGGCATCTAGCAAGGAATCTTAGCTTTTCTGGACAGGTGTTCGACCCTTCCCCCATCCTTCATCGGTTGGTAGGAGCTCGTAAAAGAACAGCCAGTCATCCATCCATCCATCTTTGAACTGACTTGCAATAGTCGAAATTGATGAGAACAGGTCGTTAAATGCTGCATTAACTGGTGCACTGGGGTGACTGTCCGTCTGTTCCAAAGCTCGCAACAAAATTACTGCACAGGAATGGCCTTGCCTCTAATTATTCTGGTAGTAGTTAAGACTACCTCAATAGGTAATTAGGACCCACCTAATGTATTGTCTATTTCCTCTTGTCTGTGCCTGGTACAACCCTCCACGAGAAGCAGAAACGTGTGAACCACAAGACTAGTCGTTTTGCGGTTTTTTTCGTGTGAAAAATGTTGCGTAAAACGGGGTTATCCCGAAGATCAACAGAACAGCTCAAGAAGATTTTGAAGTAGCCTATATGTTTTTCAAATGTCTTTTACTTCCGCTGAATGGGCGAGTCCGGTCCAGGATCAATGCTCAAAACCAGTTAAGTGTTCTCACTTTATTGTTGTCCACGGGGTGGAGTTTGAGGTCCGTGTTTCAAGACGTGGAATAAAGATGGATGCGAGCATAATGATCTGTGTATGTGCGTTCATCGCCAAAGGAAAAAAGCCACGAAGTGAGCTGTGAAATAAATCAAACTCGATGGTATTCTGCGGTTAGGATGACAAAAGATGCAGGTCGTAAAGTGCTCCTGAAAGTGAGGAAATAATCCCACTTTCTTTGCGTTTCACATTCGCGGTGACGAACTGTGAGACAAATCTCTCTCTCTCTTTCTGTGTATAAGACTCAAACACAGCCACTCGTTTCGGTAGAAGCCTCATGCGACAGCACTGAGATGCTGCTAATCACGACAATGAGCGGGTTTCAACCATAACCCCCATCGACGTGACAAAAACCAGTGACGTCACTAACTGGCATAACCGAATCCTGGTTAGATCGGAATTTAGTTCGTTTGTTTTAGCCAAATTGTCCAACTCAGCAGAACAAGCAGAACAATATGAAATTCATTTTGGCCAGCCACCCACATCAAAACTGCTAACATTTTTGGTGATATCAACTCATTCTAAGCTCAACATTCTTACTCTTCATGACTCGGCGCACTGAAATTTTATGCATCAGCAGCTAGTTAACCTTTGATCCAAACTGTTCATCGAACAGTTTATTCAAATGTTAGATGTTTGGTTCCCCGCTAAAATAATGAAAACGGATAGCGCATCATGATCATCATCAGAGACAGCATGATCAGTGTCCATACTGATGCTTGACTACATCCACAAGGTTCTTTTCTAATTATACTTAAGGCATTAGAGTGAAGAGACCAGAAAAGATTGAGTAAGGGAGTGATCTGGTGCTGGCACTCTAAGGTTGTTGAAGCTTCAAGCACTTAATCAGACAATCTGGAAAAAAACTGACATCAGGAATACCACTGATATCAATTAGACACCATTTCTGCCAGCCTTTCCCATCAACAACAGCGGGGTTCATAGGACTTCACTGTGAAAGTAATTATGCATAAACAACACTTTGTAATCTCTTTCGCAAACTTCCACCAAGCCCTACGTTATCCACTATGCATTTGACGCCATTCCAAGGGAGATATGGAGAACAGGAAGTCTCTCAGTAGACGATGTATTGGCATTTGGCTGATCCATCGGAGTCAATGGGGGTGTATGCTTTCCGCGATTAAAGTACCTACTAGACAACCAAATATCCGTTTTGTAAGTACCTCATGAGGGATTCCCTAAGGGCACCAGCTTCTGTGACATAGGCGGTGAAAAATCTGAAGACGTGCCCTACATTATCTGTTCGTGGAAGCCATGTCTGGAGACCATGCATTAAAATAGCTCTTTCTGTTGCCTATCGGATCGCGCTCGAAATGCGCAACTTCTTCCTTTATAAATCCAGATAATGGTACTCCAGGCTCTTCTCCTTTACACATGTGATCGTCTAGGTGACATTTACAGTCGATGCGGTTCAGTTTTATTTCATGATTCATCATGAAAAACGGTTACAATTTGCAACAGAATGAGCGGTTTGTTATACGCAACAGCTCACACACTGACCCCTTTTGGATCTCGGCAGAGAAGTGGGTGCTAACAGGGAAGACAATCTGGGCACGCTTTAGATTGTGTGGCGTTGAAACAAAAACTAAGGGACTCGTATGGTTGGTTACCGGTGGTGTTCAAGAATAATAAAATAAGTAAACTTAGCCTGATACTTCTTCAAGTTTGGATGTTCTTTTGAAATCACTTGCGTTTTTTTGGCTTGTTGTGATAATTCACTCACAGTGGTTTTCCTTTTCCTTTTGTGAAGTGCTAGGAAAATCCAAGAGTTATGCGTCGGCCACCCAAAATATTAATGTCTAGAGCGCGGATGAAGATCGCTTTTCATTAAACTCGGTAGACAAAAATCCAAACCCTCTGCAGCCAATAACTTCAGTGACTTACCACAAAATAATGAAGAAAGTCTTATGGGTAAATCATATGTTGGAGAGATGTTGATAATGTCTTTAGAACGGCGTGATTGTTCCTTGATATCAGGCTACAATGATCATTCCGTACGCATAGTTCGCATGACTGGCTAACTACTGGGTTCTGCAGCATTTTTTGAAAACATATCTTCCAGTAGGCGAATAACGTCTTGTGACCACGGCTCCGCAAGAAGAGAGAGTTTCCAAAGCATTCCGAAAGGTAATCGGAACAGCCAGAACTATTCTCCAAACCTCTTCTAAATGAGCATTTCATTTCAAATCGGAAAAAGTACCAGCTGAGCCACTGTTTTGTTCCCGTTTATAGGTTGGGAGTGAAAGTACTCATTTTCTTCTGCGTGAACTGCCAAACTGGCGGGCCTGAGCACCGAAATCGATTATGCTTGTTCGTTCTCCACTGTATGTAGTGCTGTAGCTTCAGTAATCGCGTCAGCCTTTATACTCTTGTATCACCCTTTTGGCGCTTCTCGCAAGTTTTATGTTCAATGTGTTTCGATGACCTTTGTTTTTCCAGCACCTTTCGGGATATTGTACTTCACACTGTATCACGATACGATCAACAAGCAGCTTCACGTTGCAATTCACAAGGCAAAGGCAAGTTATCATATTGTCTTGAGATCATTTGGTTTGACCTATGATATTACATTCTTGTCCAGTGTTTTTTATTGATAACCCAACTACACCGTCCTTCGTTTAGGTTAGGCAACATCAAAAGTAATACCTGAGCCATTGTATGAAGGTTGACTGTCACCTTGATACTCTGCCACTAGATCTGATGAACTGCTTCGATGGAGTTGGGAATACATCTATTCCAGAAGTGGTATTCTCCAAAAGTTCAACATAGCTCAACCAAGGATAGCTCAAGCTCCACAATTAACGACGTAAATCTTATGTGACCCGAGAATGGAACACCAACGTAGTACAGGTAGGAAAATTTGGCAAATAGGCAGTCGTCTGACTGATCGTGAAGCATTACCAAAGCTGTTTAAAGGAATACGAACAGCTTTGGCGTTCGAAGGCTAGTGTTTGATGCTATAGGGTGCCGCATGGCTAAAATAAACTTAGCTTGGTCTCTTGAAAATAGCGATCGAGGAAGATGGAACTTTACAGCGGAAAGTTCTTTCGGCTATCTTGACTACTGAGCTGTTGGAAGGGATTTCGATAGCGAACTGTAGGATACATTCAGCGAAAAGGGTTTGAAATGGCGCAGTGAATAGTTAGTTATATCAACGAATCTCTTTCAGGTCTGTTTGACAATAGCATGTAGATGGTAAGAGGCTCATGGCTCAACTTTGACCACCAGCCGTTATACCGAGTGCAGACTCCTGATTATGGTTTGACCGTGATGCCATTGGGTTTCTCTTGGTTTCTTAGTCATCGCTATCATCATCGCCATCATCATCAAAGACAGCAGCATCAGTGTCGACACTGATGCATCACTGCCGTACTGGTTTCTTAGATGGGAGTGAAAAGACGAAGGGTAAATTCGGCTGTGTCTAATTTACTTCGGTTGATACCTGTGAATTTGTAGAGCAGCATTAAATATAAAATTCGGAAGATCAGTCCCACTTTAGCATACTGGTTTGAGGTAATCAAGTGTTCCTGAATAGTACTTTCTCTGTTACGTTCTATCTCCTTATAATCACCACACAGTTAGCAGACAGCCCACAATCGCCACAACCGAAGTGAGCGCAAATATGCAACCGTTTGTATGATTCAGTTGATTAGTTTGACTGGGATTTTATGTCAAGTGGATTCATCACATTTACCCCGAAAACACTGCAAAAGGATTCCGTTCTGTTGGCGACTCTCTGTGCTAAGGACAAATCTTCATGTTAGGGAAGTCTAGCCGCCAATCGTTCTTAGCTGATCAGAGTTGGATACTAGTGCTGCATAATTTCGCCATAGATTCTAGAGAATCACAAAATATTTGGATGAAAATTCTCAATTAGTGTCTTTACTGTAAATAGAGCTAACTTTGTAGTGACACGTTTGAGTTATTTGTTGTTGGCACTTAACAGTTGAGGTTAATCACGAATTATCTTCGAATAATTTCAGTTTGACGACGAAAACGAATAGCCGTCCATCTGAATAGGAAAACATCTTGCACTTTAGTCAAAATATGTATTCAAGACTGATCTGTTTTGTCCACAAAATATGTGACCATTGACCGTTTCGATCGCCTGTGGATTGGATGCTGCATTTTTGGCGCGAGAAACTGCCACGTCTGCCAATCTTTATAAACACTGGGGTGTCCTTTTTAGAGGCACCATCGAGAAGGGCAGTAGTGACCAGTGCAGCTGAGTTTTCTGGCAATGGCTTCTATGGTTCTGTGATTCTTGTTCGTTCTCCCTCCTACAATGGCTTTGGGGAGTAGTTTGGTCCAAAAATATTGTAGTAAAGGGTAGTCGAGATAAAGTCTGCTACATCAAACAGTCTTCGTGGAATTTGGAGTAACTGTACTCAACACAATTTGTTGTCAAGATCTGACGTCGTCCAACTTTTCGTGGAGTTTCCAACACATAAAATATAGTTATGAAATAGTGTTGGTGGCATGTGAACCGGGCTTAGCACGCTGAACGGAGAACGAATGAACTTGAGGTTCCATGTTGGAGGGCCAACAGCTTGAAAATTGAAATTCCTGTTCTTTATAAAATGACATCTCGGTTGGGAGCACGTTGGGATGATCAAACAAAGAGATTCCCGAAAAGGGATTTACGAAGGTATGAGTAATAATAATTAGTTAATCTGCACGACGTTGCGTTTGATTCATAACTGCGATGGATCAACTTGCAAGACGTCAGTTTTAGACAAGTAAATCAGCTACTGAACAAACCAAGGTTGTTCCACTCAACTAGACTAACGTACTATATGGTGGTCATGGCCTTCTTGGGGGACTTTCCGAAATATTTTGTAGCTTCACACTTTTCATCATTGCTCTCAAATTTTCACAGAAATAAACTACATATCATTCCGCGAGGAAAGGCCGGGTCCCTTTGTAAGGTTAGTCACGCCAACTCCGTAAAGTGGCCCGATGCTGCCCACTTAGACGTGGTTTGATGTGATACTATCAAGCGGTAGCTTAAACTCAAAATACTGAGGAACGAGGGAAAACAAAGGAAAACCATTTTGTGAAACAGATTCAACCGATATTTTTATAGCTAGATTCAAAAATTATAAAAATATTTTACGGCTTACTTTTGAGTGGATGCCATGTGGCCATCACAATTACTTCTTCCAGTGATCTAGTGTTAACCATTTGGCTTATTTACTTTCAGGTACTTTCAGTACTACTAATTAAAACTGCCTGACATTTCGGAGTGTAAGTGACTTGCAGATATCAAGGTCAACGAGTCCTTATGTTCACTGCTAGCGTCCTCCCTCGTTAGCTGCCGGGTACTCGAACCTACGCTGTTTTTACCATTTTAACAGAATCTCATTGCAATGGACGCCAACGGACTGTCCGATCCCTATGTTGTTTGTGAAATTCTACCTAGCTCGCAGCATAGCCCCAGACCTCGAACCTCCACCAGACCACAATGTTTGAATCCTGTGTGGAACGAGGCTCTAACTTTTGAGCCAGTTGAAGAAAAAACTTTACACCATAAAACTTTGAGGTGAGTGAGCAGTTGAGTGAGACTCACAGGTCCAATGGCAGCTCAGGAATACTTATTAAATCGCGACATCTGTATATAATTTCAGGTTCGCCGTGTTAGACGAAGATTTGTATGGCTCTGATTGGCTAGGAGAATACTGGTTGGCTTTGAATCGGCTAACGCCAGACAGACTGACAGATTTCACGGTGCCATTGGGACCAAAAAAACCTGTAAGTCATTTTTATGAAGTATGAACTAGTTTGCCCCCGAGTAAATGAAAAACTCTTCCCCTTAGGTTCATCAGACTGTTCAAGCGTTTATGAGGCTTTTTTAACTCGATCGTTTTTTCATAACTCCACCTCTGTCGCCACAAACAAAACAACCGGTGCATTTGATAGGATATGATGTTTTCATATGAAAGGATGTAGTTAAATGAACTCAACGTATGCAAATGGGATGAGGAAAGGGGAACCCATTAATTAATTCGAAGCGACAATATCGACCAAAGCTTTGTCTATGATAACATAATCAAAAAACTTCCCAAATAGTAATAGCACACCGTCACCTTGGATCACCGATTCCTGTGTAAATCATTCTGCTAGATGGTATTTCAGTCAACCTCGACGAAGTTGTACGACCGTGATATGTTGATGACATAGTTCGGACCTACGTCTATGGCGAAGATTCTTCAGAATCGATTTTCAGATGTCAGAGTTCACGAAATCCGACCGTCATCTCCAATACTATTAGACTTTACGACAGACTAGATCGCAAAGTGGCACTAAAATCCGTCTGAGCTTGGAGATCCAAATCGTCTAACCCAAGCATGCTAACCATATGGCTATGTTTGGCAACGAGCATAATAGTTCAAAACATCTATCCAACCGTTTCTCTAAGTCAAGCCGAACCTGAAACAAAGATGTGCAGTCAAAAAATGTTCACCCCACCTACACCCAACTACTGGTGAAACTTGGATCAAACAAGCTCTTACTTTGAAGCACTTCACCTCGGCTATGCTTTCGAGCAGTTAGATTTTCGGAGAAATTTGTTCCTGCTAAACCACACGGAAATCAAATTCGTGAAATAAAAAACACACCGACAGACGGGGTGAAATCAACCAGAATTCACAGGTAAGCATGTTCCAGCCTGCTCATCGCGCATTATTATCTACGGTTACATGAATCATCCGAGTTTTAAGGTTGTCTAGCATTCCTTCCTGCGGAGGATACTCACTGGTTATGTCACCTTCCCGTATACCAACAACAACTCTGTTATATACAGAAGCCAAAAGTATTAATTTGCCCTCGTCGCTATATCTGTTGGGATTCTCTCAAGGAAATCACACACTGATTGCTTTCAGCTTCACCATGCTCTGACTAGTGGTTTCGATCGACGAAAATAAGCCACGATGGTTCAAATCGCCATGCTTTGGCTGCCTGGATTCAGGACGCTGACCGCAGAAAGCCACTTTATCATATATTACATAGTATGCGGTAGCATCTCCATTGAAATGACTACAGGGCATTTCTAATGGCGGTGATAAGGTCACACTTGACTGTGTAAATATGTGGATATAAATTTCATCCACTGCATTCGTCGTCCCCTACAACAGGGATGAGTAAACGATAACTCAGGAGAACTAATCCTTTTACATATCGCAGTAAATAAATGGTACCTACATACCCCTTAAGGTTCCTTCTCAAATTTGAAATTCATATCACATTGTAATGAATTGCCCCTCAGTTCACTTGCTCGCATACGATATGTTCTGTATGAGCAGTATGCCTATAGACTTGTTGTTGGTCCAGTTTATTCCTGGGTGTCGTTGAAATGCGTTTCTTCGTCTGGTACAAATAACTCCACCTAGGCCGACCAGCAGCCGATTTGTATAAGAAAGCAAGTTGCATGCACCTTGGGGTCCAGTCGTCAAAGGCCTAAGGTAGATTGCTCGCCGCAGAAAACCTGTGCACCTTTGCTTTGAGACAAGCATCTCAAGCTATGATTCGGCCGTCCAGCCCAGTTGGCTGTAGGCAATTCTACATAAATACACTTATTTATTCATGACCCCTCTCGTCCCCTCTGTAATCAAGATGCCATATGCCATTAGAGTGATAATGTACTCGGGTGGCACAATGGTGCAAACAATCCTTGGTATTTGTGTCTAACCTTTGGCTAACTACCGCAGTTCAAACATAGCAACAACAACCATGACAAGAGTATTGTGCGACAATGCCCTGTGTCATAACAATATTCTTTTCTCCCGGTACCCGCCGGCCTCCACAAAATGCTCTACTGTCAATCTCGATATAAGATTGTGAACGAAACGATTGGGATCACGCAAAATTGAAAAGATAACGGGGCTTAAACGACTGTGGCAACCAAATTCAACCTGTCCATGCGTTCACGAGTCAAGAGTGGAATAGCTTTTTTTCACACTAGACACGCACTGACTGATTGTTAGCCAAGTCTGCTCTATCAGTCACTTTTAAGAGTCGGTCATTACGCTTTTGGTTTATAACTTAAGCACAAATTACAAACCCAAGTCACTTTTTGACATTCTCTGTCGCTTCCAACACCTCGATAAATATCAGCGAGCAACCAGTAGACTCAGTAATTTCATTTTCTTTCAACAGAGCGAAATCCAACAAATGTTTCCCCTGAGAATTTTAACATCTTCCCAGCTCTGCTCAAGCTCTCGATAAATAAACTACCAAGATTAGGCGCTGCAGGAGGACTTTGCATATCTCCAAAGTGGATGGTCATTTGAATGTCGGCAGTTGATCCTTTGAAAAATTGTGAACGACTGTCTAATGTCGAGAATTCTTTTTATCATTACTAGCGACCGCGACGATTCCCTAGTTCTCTTGGCCGTAACTTGAGAGACCGTTGGGACCCGTATACCTGGCTCTAAATGTTCTCGGTGCATTCTTAACCTGGTCAGAGTTGTCCATGGCTGACCAAGACTCAACTGTGAAAACGGAAGTTTTACGCAGTTTGAAGTTTCAGTGTGCTTGTTGATGTATGACAAAGTTCAGTATACGGTTGATGAATTTATTTGCGCTCTTTGTAACCAACTCTACTATCGACAGCCGAAAGCCCGAGCTGCCCACTCTGATGATACTTTTGGACTGGAATATATGAAGCTGCGAAGCAATGAAAACGTAAATTCAAAATGTACAAACACTTTTGGCCCTCTGAGTATTTAGTTAGCCATTTCCAGCGGAATGGTCCCACGCGCCGCCTTTGGATTTTATATTGCCAAGAAAATCTAATCTCAGGATAAACTGAGGAGGAAGAGCTCGCTTGGTGACATGGGACAATATCAAATACCTCATCTTTGGCGCACACACTTATGCGAGATTATCCGAGTGTTTGAGAGGTATAAAGAATTGGAGTGGCTGTGCAATGTACGGGAAATAGGTCGGATAAATTTCGTTTTGGGAGACTCTCCTTTACTCGCCATGTCGGCCAAAGCATATCCGATAAGCTCCACAGTACCAACTCACACTATTTTTTTCTCTATGCTTCAAATAAAGGAGCTCATGTGTAAACTAATGAAGCCAAAAATGCATCTCCTGCTTCTCCATCCCCTCAAGACAACATTTTTCATTCTGCAAGCGACCTATCTGAAGACGTATAATCAACCCCTGTCTTGGAAAATGCAATCACTGGCTGATTTGTTTCTTAATTATTAGTGGGAAGCAAATTCGGGGCATGCTGACGATGTAAATAACCGGCTGTCTGATGTCTTTTTAGTCTATCCTGAGGCACATGCATTCCGCCCCCATAATTTATCTTCTGCTCTATTTACTGTTGTGCTCTATCATCTGATGTTGTGAACAATATCTCGATAAGCGAACAAAACCCGTGAGTGCGTGGATACTCCACAGATATTTTTTCATCAGTGTGGCGAGTAGCCGACATTATCGTACAACACAAGAGCTTTGGACTCAAGTTGTAATTGCATCAAGCCCCTTCCTTAGCCTTCATTTTTAGCAAAACAGACATTTTTCTTCCAAAATAATTAAAAACCTGTCAAAAAAGTGCAGTAAACGGGTGGGACTAGTTCCTCTGGGGAGGTAAAAGGATAAAATGTCAGTGGTCACAAACATTGTCTTACGCCTCATTAGGTTCTCCATATCTCTGTCATCGGATGTAGCACAACCACACACTGCCGACTGCCTAAACGCTCCCAGCTATGGATATTGCCTGGAGAAATATATCGCCATGGTGAATAACATGGTTGAATAACGGTTGCTGGATAATCAGCGTAATCCGGACTTATTATTGTCGGATATAAAGAATGTTACTGCGTATAAGTTTTTGTTTTTTGCACGTCAAGGTTCGGCTATACCAAACTTTCTTATTCTCATATCATAAAGGCCAATTAAACTAACTGCCTGTTTGTGAGAGTTGACAGTTTAACGGTATATAAGCTCAACTAGCTGAGAAATGAAACTAAGTAGATTGAGCGGAAAAGTGTACCCAATGCAATTGGAGAAAAAGCAGCCTGCTGACTGGCTATGTCAAATGCGCACGAACTCGAAAAGCACGTAAGAACCCATCCCTATGACCTCGTCACAAGTATCTAGTCTGACTTCATGGCGACGACTACGTTTGATAGTCAATATATGACCTGCATGCTGTTCGATAATTACTTCTAACCACCAGCTGAAAGCGTCATGTGTCAGAAGTGTTTGTCTTGAAACGAGTAGAAAGCTGAAATAATATAGTGAGATTGTTCGTCCAAACAAGTGAATGCCAGAATAGCGACTGTGGCAGTTTTGAAAATAAGAAAGGAAAATAGGCAACACAGGTTGGATTTATCCAAGACATTTAGGCAAAAATGAACTCATTGGGGTGTTGGAAAACTTACGTTGTAGTGAAAGAGGGCAGCAAATATTCCGGAGAGTCAGATGAATTTCTCTCGAGTACGAGCACTGTTCATTATGATTAAAGCATGCTGGCATCCCGAGTATCTGCTGTTGACTTGCATGCACATTCTGATCACAACAGTTATTAGTGAAATGATAATAATCACCAGCGCGCTTCCCCATCCACAAAGATATCCCTCACGTGACCCGTGTAATTATATAACTTTTCGAGTGAAACGAAACAACGGTAGCGTTGTGTGCGCTAATGTAAAACTGATACGCATATCATAGTTGTCAGGCCCATCCGTGAGAGTGGATTAGCTCGCCGTGTTACAAAGCTCTCGAAGTGCCTAGTCTGCCTCACTCCCCAGTGTCCCCAAATTAAACCTGACAAAAAGTTTCCGCGCACCATTTCAGGACAACTGAACGATACACAGAAATATATTCAGTTATTTTCCAATCCCTGTCTTTCTACGGACAAACTTGCTGCACATTAGTCAGTTTCCATATGAACGCAGGAAGTGTTGACCTGGATTTGAGACAGTAATGGGATCCAGAAGAGAGCTTACAACAAACATTTCATTCGGTTGTTCACTGAGGTAAAGAAAATCTTTGCTCAGGTCTACCGGAGACAGACTTACATAAGGAGAAAATTTGATTCATATAGGAATAAAAACAAGCGAAGAGGTCGGTGAACAACAGAAATCTCCCCTCCCCCCCCGCCACCACATCATTGTCGCCCACTGGCTTCAAGGCACATGAAGTTCCCCGTCGATAGTTTCGTATCTAATGGATGTGTTGCTACACCATTAACCGGTCTGGAAACGGATATGGTCCATCATCAATTTTTTTACACCAGGAACCTTTTTAACTGAAAGCAACCTTCCAACAGGCAAGCCCCTTTGCATTGAAATTTTCTTATAGAACAACTCTAAAACAGAAACAGCAATATATGGTCCCCAAAGCGACCGATTTACACCACAAGCTATTCATCATAATAGAATTAACCTCGATCACGGGCTGGAAAATACTCAGACCCACGAATGCTGCTTTGGGCAATGCAGTAGACTCTAGCTCCATGTCATTGAACCCTAGTTGATTAAACTGATCCTTGAAGACAAATGAGCTAGAACAAAGCACAATGGCCATTCACAGGGACCACTCCAAGTTATATTTCGGACTGATGGTGGCCAGGATGGAGCGCAAAACATAACAGCTTCGTTTTAAATCGAGTTCTAAATAACTGATTGTGCTCTATTCAGTTTAGTCAGTCAATTTGTGGATGGCTACACGACGACAGGAGCCCGAGTAGTCGAAACTTATTTGAAGTCCACTATGTTGGTTACTAGAATACCTGTCGGTCGGAGTGAATTGGACCGACGGAAGAGCACCTACAGATTCTTTCTTATTCGTGTGATGTCAAATGTTACAACAAATACTGTGGCGTGGGAATTGTTGTCCACACAAACTAGCACTTCATGTCGTCCACCATGACAACAGACTAGCATCAAGATGAATTAAATAACTAGGTAATACTATACTATAGAATTAAGTAACCATGTATAAGAAGACCGATGAATACCATACACAAAAGTAGAGAATTGGCCCAACTTCTGAAGTGAGTTGAGCTGGCGAGAAGAATTTGAACACCACTATCCAAATGAGATAACAAATTTGGGGCAAGAGTTTCGCTCAGTTGATGCACTCAAGAACCGTCGTTTTCTTCTTTAATGCCTGGCCGAGCTAAAGAGACATGAAACTGGAGGGTTACGGATAGGTAAACCATAGTTTTCATCGACGGGACACAGCCGTTATTCGAAAACACTACGTTTGATGTTATACTGACGTTGGCAGTTTCCAATTAGACACCTTACTCAATTGTAAGGTACCTATGCAATATAAGTATTCCAATGCTATGCTACCTGTTGCAGATGCTTCTCCAAAATTTTATGACTTTCGTAATTTCAGTAAGCGGGAGAATTTCCCCAACCATGTCTACGTGTGAATGGTGTGCAATTATTTATAGAATGCTCATTCATTTAGGGTGTGAAGTGTAAAAAATTAGCGTTTGCACACGTGCAGGTAAAACATACTCATGTTAGGCAATTGTAACGTATACGGCGATGCGGTAATTCATGCGTGAAATATCGACAGTTTTTAGGGAGTCGACTCGCAAACATCGAGTTTAATTAATGGCTGAAACTCCTTTCAATGGGACATTTCTGAAACTGTTGTGAGGAACCGAAATAAGCTCTTTCTCTTGGTGTTCAGGACACCCGAGAAACGTACTACGCAGTCCTGACCCTGCGTTTGCATTAAAAATTATTTGGCTATTTCTTCACACAGACGTGAATCAGAACCTGATCAGTGACTTGAAAAAGCGTGTCATTACTAACCATTCGTATTATCAGTCCATTAAATTTTGATAACTGTTGATAAATCTAGTAGTATGAAAGTTTCGTTTCTTTGTGTTGACTTTTTTTCGGACATCATCTATCATCATCATCTGATCGCATTCTAATCAGGGTGTAAACTGTTCGTCAATCAAACTTTTTGTTTCAAGCAATCATCGATGTGAATCTTCCAGTGTGTCTGGAAGTTCTGTTCACCCGTTATTAGAATCTTCACATATGCAGCCCACTGAATCAAAGAGATATTAGGAATTGGAGATTTTCTAATTTTGCATTCACATCAATCCCATTCAAACAGTCTTTCCTTTTCTGGTGCAGTTATTCTCATCTTTCAAACACTTTCAAAAACTGTCAAACAGAGTGATATCGTCGTTCTAATAGTTAGCGATGCTTTCATTCCTCTTGCTAGCTTATTGAACCAACGGAGCCATATCCAATAACAACCCCAAACAGTTTTTCATTCAACCGTATTATACGTTATCTTACTGGTCGTCATTACAATGCCCATTCACTCAAATCCAAACCTCAAGAAGTTTCCGAATCGTCTGCAAACATCTGAAGCTGCATTCTCTTATTAAAATATTGCATCTCTCCGTTCTGCCTAAAGGGCGAATTTGAATTCTGCTGACCAACTCCGGCACAGATACTGTTTGGATTTTTTTCTATCAAGAGTAGGTGGCCCGTTGGTAGGTTCGTGGAACGCGAACTGTGTCAAATTGCTTATCCAAAGGATGATGTGCCATCGCTGTTGATTGAATTACTGCCAATGTTAGGGGACCATTCTGTTTGATCTCATTTATATACTTTGCATCACATCACAGGCGAAATGATCGTAACAGGTGGGGATGAATGACGCTCAGTTAACAGCCAACATAGCCATGCAGTCGATCAGGTTCCTTGCGGTATTTCACGGAGAGTTCGGTGAACCTCTTCTGTCCAGAGCGATTTGGGCAAAGCCTATTTCAGACCACATATCCATACGAAGTGAGGAACGAGGAGACACGACGATCGAGTTTCGATGTTGTGTTCTGCGGCTTGCTCAATGAGTACTTTCCCGGCTAGAATACTGTAGACCAGGCCTTTCGTCGGAATCTTGCAATTGAAATTCATCCTGATTCGATTAACCTCCAGTTAACAGTCTAACAGCCGAATACTGCCATTATTGCTGTCATAGCTTTTTGTGACTCCCGCACCCATATCTCGGTCCACCTTAAACATCTACTCTCTTATGAACGAAGGTTGATTAAGTGAATTGGGAACACCAAGTAGATTGGTATTCAGCTCTGATCCGGCTCCGAACAACAGACGGGCCATATCAACTTAAGGGGTGTTATGGTTTTCCCAACCTAGAAAGGAAGGACATTTTCATTTGCACCTTAGCAAGCGTAAGTCGGTGAACATCATTCAACAGGCCCATACATAGATAACTGACGCACTTATTTGTTCTGTGTTTTGAAATGAGAGCGATCTCCTTACTTTGTGGTCGCAACGCCAAAAGCGAGTAGCTCCATTCGAACGAAGTGCAACATGTATCTGGAATGCTTATCCGTCTCCGTGGAAAACGAAGTAGCCATTTCCACAACATGAGTATCATTGGCGGTGCAGTATGCAATCTTTACCTTTTCGATAGATAAAGTCATGAAACAGGAACTTGGTGGAAAAGAGAGTAGGAACCACCATTCTTCTAGCAGTGTCTGGTCAACGTTTCAAAAGCGCACAGATGACGTGACAAGTAGTTGTTTAACGATCGTTCAATACACATAGGATCTAATACAATTCAAGGTCCAATCCTGATTGTGTCATTTAAATTTTTGAGTATATATCATTCGCGTGACGATTAATTAACTATATTTTACCAACAAAATTCTAGCAAATTCTTTTTTCATATATAATCCGTTGGCATAATTACAGGCCTTCATTCATTCAATCACAGAGTTACATCCCATAAAGACACCCACCTCTATTTTTAGCGTAACACAGTTAAGAGTCACACATTTGTAAAAGATAGTGACTCCTGAAAGTATCCTTCACATTTATAACCATTAAACAGAATTACGACATGGGAAAATAGGCGAACCTGATAATTCTAGGTGGAATTTTATCTCATCTGATGCTTTTTCTTATGTGATTTAACCAGTGTTGAGTTTCGTTTAGTTTTGTGTTGGATGCTCACATCTAACTCTAAGCAGAACACTGGCTTCACCGTCATTTCATTCCCCACGATTCTCTTCTTCCATCATTAAGCTGCATCGAGGTGAGCGTGATCTGGCTTGTCCAACAAGAGGAAAGATTCAACTAGGTCTGCGATTTTTGGAGGAGAGACGCCAGTTGTGTGTTGAAGTTATCCGATGTTCAGACCTGGCCTCCATGGACCCCAATGGATTATCCGATCCTTTTGTAAAATTGTAAGTTGTGATTATCTAACGGTGGTTCTTTTGTTGTGCTTTATGGCTGATACGGCCTCACTCCATAACTTGATCGAAAAAGTGGTCCAAATTCCATCAGGGTTTGTTAAACAAGCGGTGGCTTTGTAGACCAGCAGAGTTTTGCTTCTGATACAGGAGCTTCGCTTTCAACTGTGAGTGGCTTACTAGATTGGCAAAGTTTTCTGGTACACGGTGAACCGGTCAGCAAGATCTATTTCGGCCATTAGACCTGATCAGATTTGAATATCGCTTAAAAATACTCTCGATTATTGCGACTGCTTAAGGCATATCGCACATGAGCTAGGAGCGAGTTAGAATCACTTTGGTCTGATTGAGCCCTTGATCTTCAGGTTCGCAGCAACTCTGCTAATGGTTGTGCTCAGTATCATCGGTAAATTTCGTATGATTGCGTGGGTCCTAAAGTGTTACGACAACTTGGTTGAGGCGGTATGAGATTAGGTGAACTTTTGGTAGGCGTGGGCTGTGTTTCAGATCTGACTTACTTTCATTAATAACCACCCACCACCTTCTATCACATCGGCTGATCTAGAACAGTTATCCGTTCACTTGCCAGTTCTACACCTTCCGTTACGTTTACAATGGGACTCCTGGCGATTTCCACCGCCCCGATTATCAACCTCAGTAATGTTAATCTTATTTCCCGCCCCAAAACTTTAACACTTCCCGAGTATGTTTTGTCCCATGTCTAGCTTACGCCGTTGTTGAGTCATCCATTACTTCCCAAGAGTATTTCAATCTTTTAATAGCTGGTTTATTTGTTGCTGTGCCCATCAATTATGGTGTCAAGTACTCTAGTTGTCTGAATTAAAGAGACCTAAGTGCTGCCAACAAATTGGATTTTTCAGACACAATTCCCGATTCTATTCACCCAAAGCCGATCCTCTGATTGCATCCGTGCAGCTCGTAAGGTGCTTTCCCTCTGTGACGCTAGCCTTATGTCAGCCGTCTTTAGTACCCTTCTGATGGCTTCGGATGTGCCTGGTTTATGCGGAATGACAGCAGTCCCAATGCACTTAGTGTTGATTACCGCCACCGCCACCGCCACCGGTACCGATATCCTTTTTAATTAACGCCGGATGAAATTGGCTGGATATCCACTGTCTGTAATGTTAATCTTATTTCCCGCCCCAAAACTTTAACACTTCCCGAGTATGTTTTGTCCCATGTCTAGCTTACGCCGTTGTTGAGTCATCCATTACTTCCCAAGAGTATTTCAATCTTTTGGTAGCTGGTTTATTTGTTGCTGTGCCCATCAATTATGGTGTCAAGTACTCTAGTTGTCTGAATTAAAGAGACCTTAGTGCAGCCAACAAATTGGATTTTTCAGACACAATTCCCGATTCTATTCACCCAAAGCCGATCCTCTGATTGCATCCGTGCAGCTCGTAAGGTGCTTTCCCTCTGTGACGCTAGCCTTATGTCAGCCGTCTTTAGTACCCTTCTGATGGCTTCGGATGTGCCTGGTTTATGCGGAATGACAGGCAGTCCCATGCACTTAGTGTTGATTACCGCCACCGCCACCGGTACCGATATCCTTTTTAATTAACGCCGGATGAAATTGGCTGGATATCCACTGTCTTGAGGTGTACTGGTTACTTCAACTCGAGCCGCTGCTTGATAAACTTCTTCGCACAGAAACCCCTTACTCGCCTAAACATTGGTTAGGTAATACTAGATCAAAAGCACCCCAGTATGAGTTGAATTCTGTTTATTTTGTTTTCTCACCAATCCAGTGTCATACGGCCTAGGACAAGCAGTGTGTCTGAAGTTAACTCTACCTCCATTCTGAGGGTTCAGGTTATTTAGGTAAATATACAACTTTCTGACCTTATCCCATTTAATCGCGATAAACTGTTATCTACATGATTCTACAAAAGCTTTTTGCTCAAAATCTCCGTAAGAATATTTGTCCCAACCGAGCACATTGAGAGTAAACCAGAGATAACAACAAATTAAGTGAAATTCAAGCAAACGTTTCATTTTCTACTATTTTGCCACCCGTAATCTGTGCTTGTTCAGAAAAGCGGCACCTGTTCATGACAACTCCTGATTATTTCTAGACTCTGCTTTCAGTTTATCCGTGAACAACGAGCTTATGTCGAGACTCACAGGAGTGTCATTTGGTTTCCTGACGAGCCCCGACACTTTACTGGTGACGCCACATGAATTCCTAATATAAGTACGTGGTTTTCCGGCGAGGGGTTCTAGAATACCATCTGGGAACCTGGTTAGTTCAGGCGGTGAGGACCGTCTACTAACGGTCACATAGAGACATGAGCGTTGTGCATGTTTTGCATCGATAGCAAACACCCACCAACTTCAACTTTGCTGTTGCTCATCAAAGACGTGATATTCTCGCTGTAGACCTGCAGCTAGATGCCTCTAGACCCTTTGTAGATGACAACAGGGAACTGACCCTGCCTCCGTGAGCGCTTTAACCCGTTCTAGAGTATCTAACGTCTTCCAAAACGTTTGAGTCCCTGTCTACTAAGAATTAAAGCTTGTGATCCAGTGTATCTGCAGCTTCTCCTTTCCCAGTAAGAGACGTTCTACAAAAAACGCATACTCAGCCCTAGGAAGTAGCTATTCTACCCATTCGTTCCTGAATAAATCTCCTCCTTCACTAATCCACTTGTTAAATTTACTAATTTCCGACAACTAGTGGGCGGTTTATGTTTTTCTATAGACCCACTGAAAGACTGTTATTAAAGCTACCCTCTGAACATATATGTTTCTGTTTGCAAAATTTTCCTTCAGTAGCCTCCAATTTGGATGCTTTCTTGTCAAGTAACAGGAAACTTGAGCTAAACGGCAGGTCCTAGAAATCGTGTTTTAGCCGACCTGCATGGTGACAGATATCAGACCACCGCTGAATCCTCTTTAGAGCGAATCTCTGCTTGCTAAGTGAATTTGCTGCTAAGAAAGCCATTTGTAAGAAGAAAGAAACGTGTCAGAAGAGGTGTAAAGATTAAGTTCTGCTTTAGACAGCTTTCGTTGAATAAGTACAGGTTCCCTCTGTTTGCCTTCACCGTCGCTAGTCGAGTGTAATCACCTAACGGTTTGCGAATACATGGTCCGTTGTTTGACTATGGACCAATCGGAAACAGTTTGGAACTGACTCGGCAGAAATCTTTTCAGAAGCGTTTGGTGAATATTGCACTAGTCAACAGAAACCATAGGGACTAGTTATGCATCAGTCCTAAAAAAGGAAGAACCTGGTGACCAACTTATTTGTCATGACAAAGTTTTTGTGTCAAAAGTGAAACATTGTCCGGCCATAAATATCCTGAATGTTTACCAAGCCTTTCTCATTGCGTTTGACGCCAGGTCAGCCGCGAGGAAAAACGGTCAGACAGGCGTCTGCTTCATGCGGCCGAAACAACCCCGGAAGTGCGTGCTGCGCGCTATCCGTTAATTATGGACTGAGTAATTATTTTTGATCGCCTTGTCTATCTTTAGGTGGCCATCGCACTCATCAGTGATTCTTTCCTAACATCCATATTGTCTAGGTAGGGTGGGGGCTAATGAAGCCACAAATAAATTTTGAATTGCGCATGGTGTATAGTCAGGGTCTTCTTGGTAGGTTTATCGGATCCACACGTCTTCAGTCCTTCTCTTTATGTCTTACTCATTTTTTCTAAATTATTAGGAGTAACCGTTTTATTTTCAATACTAATCTTAAACCTGTCAAACAATAAAGCGAAGCGAAGATTCATACGGATAGGATAACAATAATCTGTTGAAATCACAGTACGGCTCCTTGAATAATTCGATCTGGCCAACAATTTTTTCTAAAAAAACGAATGAGGTAATTTCCGTCCACCTGTCTGAAAGCCTCTGTTTGACTGATTATATTTGGTTGCAGCGGGAGGGATTTTTGGGGTTTACAGTCACAGTGGCCATTTTTCCATCTAATTTTAAGAACCATTTCTAAGTCACCTTTTTCTAATTTTACTTTCCACACAATAATAAGCAACCCTGAACAGAAAATTCATTCGCTTCCGATCTGGTGAGGGTTTCTTAGATTCTCCCATCATCATTATTTAACTGTTTGTGGAACTTGAATCCTAAAAATTAGGTTGGCCACAATGGTGGCTTATTACGTAAGATAAAATCTGAGAGCCCTTGTGATAGAAAAATCATGCAAATAAAGAATGGTATAAAGCAGCTAAGTTCACATCTCGGAACGACATCAACAATCTGGACTTCGTTTTTAAGTGCAGTATAGAAATCCTGCTAGATAAGATCACATCAGTAGACCCAGACATGTTTTTCTATTCTTTCGTAAGAAGCTACTTTGCCTTTACAAGTTTTTCTATAAAATGCAAGTTCTTGTGCTTAGGGAAATGATTTAAAAATTATTACCTCATCACCTATTGAGTCTACAAGCACAGTTTTCGGGGGCACCTAAAAATGACTTATAAGAAATGACTTATAAGACGACGGGTGCTTGTGCTTCCTTTGAGAACGCCATTATTATACTGGAAATTTCTTCACTCATGGGCGAACGTTTCTTAGTAAGTGGAGCAGGAACATATTTACGGGTATTCTGAAAAATGGCACACTTGTGTGTGACTGAAAAGATTTCGAATATACCGAAGTTGCAAGCATGCGAATAAACAAACATATTGAAAAAAGACCGGTTTTGTCTATCGATCCATGAATAACTTATGCTTTGAACTCGCAGAGGCTCACATACCTCTCACAGGTGTTGGCATCAGCATTAGTTACGGAGTAGATTTAATGGTACAAGGTTTTGCAAGCAATTCGGGTAGAAAAGTGCTTCACAAAGACCTCCTGTGTTTGAATAGTCTGCCAAAAGAATTGCTCACACTTGAATGTATACAGAGCTGAGTTGAGCGGCTATTTGGCACCTTACTTCATGTGATGCTTCACTGAGGGTCAGATTACGTGTATTCTAAATAACGGTTCTTGGTGGGTGCCAGGTTACTTCCAAT